GATAAGGTTCGTTATTTCAGTGCTTTGCATTAGTTCTCTTGCTTTTCTCCTCACTGACGGTCCATTTCGCATCTCTTGTTCCATTTCCGTGCTCTACAAGGCCGCGAGACATTCTTCAGGCGATTAAAGTGGTAGACTAAAGAGCCGCCGAGTAACTATTTTGTTAACAACTATTCGGCATTCGAAGCCTTCTAAGAGAAAGAACTTAGATTCTCTTCCAGCTGGTCGAAAACCAAAGGGCACACTTCAAAACGGGTGCCACCAGAAGTGTAGAAGCGCGCCGTAAAGCGCTACTGAAGCTGAAGGAAATGGTGGAGAAAAACAGCGAAGAAATCGGAGCAGCAATCCAAAAGGATCTTGGAAGGGTGAGCAGTCGCCATTCATTTCACCGCATACCCATCTTCTAATGCCCCGGTTTCAGGATCCAGTCCAAGAGGTCGCTAACGCTGTACGTCACGTGCAGGAGTTGATCAGCCATGTGGAGGAATGGAGTGCTCCAAAAATTGTAGCTAAACCACAAATGTTCAACAATGACAGCGATGAAGTGATGTTGATGACGGAACCGTTGGGAGTTGCGTTGGTCATTTCACCATGGAACTTCCCACTCGTGACGTCGATGCCAGTCGCGCTGGCCATCGCTGGAGGTAATCGATAACGGTCAAAATTCATCATTAGTCTTTGAAAATATTTTCCCGAAGCAATGCATGAGAACCTGCAATATACACACAAGAAAAGTTAACGCGCTACTCGACGGTAATTTTGGAGGAAAAAAGTGGGCGGAGTTTGGGCTGTGTCGACTGGTCTCAGAATCGAATACTATAGAATGAGCCCCATGATGGCGATGGCAGGCGAGGGTGGTGAAGGGTTGACCCTGAGGGGGGGGGTCGTATCGAGGCCCTCTAGAAGGGGGAGGGGTCGTAAAATTTTCGAAATCGGTCCAACGTGACGGTTGACCCTGCTTCTGACTCAAAACCTGGCAGGTTCATGGCACCTTACGACCTGATCGAAACCTTAACGACAACACTCGTTTTGCTTGTTGAGTGCCGCGAAAGGCGCGATTTCGCGAGCGCGTACGAAAAATCAGCGGGAAAAGCTATTTCAAAAAATCTAAGTTACATATGACATGACCCAAATATAGTTTTCTAGACCATGTCGTTTTTAGTTCTCTTCGGAGTAATCTATAGAATAAATACAAGCACTACGTAAGGAAGTCATTTATGTGAAAAAGAGTGTGGTATCATGAGGGTGCCACGCCGTCCCGCGCAGCCTAAAAGGCGCGGCATCCTACGATGCTCATGCATCGTCAAGTGCTAACCAGTATTGTTGAAACCCACCGATTTGTCCCCTTCGAAACCGACACCGTGTTTTCATTCAGATCTCCTAATCATATTAATCATATAGCTTTTTTGTAGGAAATACCGTGATCTTGAAACTGTCCGAGCTTTCCCCGACGTTCTCGTCCGTTTTCGCTCGTCTCGTTGCCAAGCACTTCGACGAGGTTTGTGTTTACATTTGAGCAAAAAAACTCTGGCTTAATTTTGGGTACCGTAATCAGCGCTAAATATGTGCAGGAACCAAAGTAGCAGTGGGCGGGCAACAGAAAGCGACAACAATGGGCGCCTGAACACATCTAAGGGCAGAAGGGCAGATAAATAAATAGTAATAAACTAGAGGTGAAAAGGGAATGACATAGTATTCTACCATGGAGCGCTGCACGAGGCTCTTCACGAAGGAGTGTGGCCGTAGCGTCGTTACGGGCTTTATCCGTACCTGCTGAACCCCTTTCTTGCCTCTTGTCCACTTCGATTGTCTGGTCCTCAGGTAGTCCCTCCCAGCACTCGAGTCAGGGTGCAACCCTATTTGATACTGTAACGGTTTGGGAGGGAAGGTCGTAAGGTTGAAATACATGGGTAATTAGGGAAATGTAGGGAATTTTTGCGGTTTTCACGGTAAGTATATACCCCCGCTCGACGGTAATTTTTTGGGGTAAAAATTGTTTTGAAAAGAGGGGGTCGTATGAAACATTTATGAGGGAGGGGGTCGTAAAAACTTTTTGAAAAGTAGCAACGATAGGACCGACCCTGCTGGAGTTAGAGCAAGAGTGATGTTGCTGACGGCAGCGATCATAGAAACTCGTCTTGCGAAAAAAGAAACAGGCAAAAGAGGTTCCATTTAGCAAGTTTTGAGCAGTTTTCACCCCAAGACTATAACTCAGCCACGTCAACTTTTATTTCCCATGGGCGAACTATTGATAGTGTGACCTGCCCTTTGATGATTAGATCTTTAGAAGCTCTTCGCTGCTGTCGAAGGCGCCGTGCCAGAAGTGACAGCGTTGCTCGCTGAACGATTCGATCACATCACGTATACCGGTAATCCGACGGTGGCCAAGGTGATTATGACGGCAGCGGCCAAGTATCTCACACCAGTACTTCTTGAACTCGGCGGTAAAAAGTGAGGTGTTACTTTGTTTTCCTTCACTAATGAATTTGTATGCGTAAACGGGCGGCTCAGGAAGCGGAAACGGTTCACAGGACTAAGTGAAGTTTTAAGTGACGGAATGGTCTTAGCAGATAACGAACTACACTTCTAGCGGGCGCTGAGGCTCTAGGGCACTAACAATCGGCTCAGTCATCTTGGATCACGTGCGTTCTAGGTTTGAGTAGGCAGTAACCCCAATATCACTACATAATATGCAATCAGGGAAAGCGGAATCTGGTTGGAGATTAGTATGAAACGGAGATCTGTGATATTTCAGACAATTAGGGATATTGGTGACGGCTGACGATAATAGACAGTGATTTTAACCCATTCGCGACCGCGCAGGATTGCGCAATAGCAGCAGAGTCAGGAGATTTTCTTCAATAAAATTTGAGTGGAGGGAGATTTCCCTCTGCCCAGGGCTGGCGTAGATGAGCGAGGGTATGAAGATTCTTTTCATGGAAAGAAAACTTTCCAAATTCCATTTCAAGCCCTGCAGCCACAGTAATGCCATTGTCCCGAGTGAGAGCTTTGTCAGCCACCGGTGGCTGACATTGTCACGAATGGGTTAATTTCCCGCCCATGCTATCATTTGATCCTGGCGAAAGCTAGGCATGTCCTCCGACATCATTGATAGCCAACCGAATCCAAAAAGCAAAAAAGGATGCGCGCATTCTACTTCCATTTGTACATTCGTAGTGGCGTTTGAATGCGATGTGGCCTATACAATGACTTGCGGGGCCAGCCGATGTACAAGTCAGTGTTTTCCTCCCAGACAAGTCTGGTACCAATTAACCGACCCCGGAGGGATGGAAGGCTTGGTTGGCCCGGGCGACTCACGACCCAGGATTTGATCCCCGGACCGCTCGCGTGGTAAGCGTGCCACTACACCACTTCCGCCCACTGATTTAGTCTTATTTAATTTATTTCATTTATTTATAGCTTTATTACTGGAATCAAGATACAATGGTAAATACTCTGAACTCCCATGAGGATACTCAGCTTCAAAAATAGATTTTCATGCCTTTCAGATTCAACCTATAATTTTTAATTTTTTTAAAGCAACAGTTCAGGGAGGGTCCGAAAATTTCAATGCCACTACTACTGAGGGATACACGAGCCCTAGTGAAGAACATATGCAGTGGAAATAATAAACGAACTTACCTCAGAAACTCAAAAACAGGGTGGAAAGTCCCTCAAACATGGGTGTTCTTGGGGATTTCCCCAATCCCGCCCCCTTGCCGGCCGTCATTGGACGCGTCGGCAATCGTGCTCGTTTTGGGACCACAGGGAAAATTGATTGAAAAATGGAGCGCGTTTACAGCGGGCACGTTCAGACAACTCGTCCAACGTGCGTCTTTATCCATTGCTGAGCGGCAGAGGGAGAGTACCTGTCTAAGACCCTCCCCGACGTTTTTTTCCAGTTTTTCATACATTAATCGTCTGGTTTTCATCTACAACTTCATTATTGGTGGTTTTTTCCCGCGAAACCGTTCCTGAACTGTTGCTTTAA